GTATTCCTTTTTAATCATTGCCTTCTTTGTATGTATTGTTTTTTACAATATGGCAACACATGTTATGTGTCAGTTTGCAACCATGTGTTATTAGGTTTGTTCGTCGAAAATCCAGCAAGAATTATCCAACACTCAAAATATCAGAGAGTAAGAAAAAATTCTCTCAAATTCTCTCTCATGTTGAGAAACTCGCAAATTTCTGCACGAACGCAAATTTGCAGGAATTTGCAAGTTTCGCTGCCAGCTGGCGTCCACGGTTGCATTTCAAACATAACAAATTTTTATAGAATTTTTAAAATTCTTTCGGATGGCCAAAAACAGGATATACATGTATATTTCTTGTTGTTCTGACTTTCTTTAACATACATTTCAATTTCTTCATCGTACTAGCCGTCGGGTTTCTTAAATCGACTCTGGTTGCAATTGCATTCCGATTGCGAATACCATTTTTTTCAGCCGAATTAAGTTCAAATCATTGGAATTAACTAAATTAATTATATCAACAATTATTTACTTCCTTTTTTCATAAAAACTCGCTCGTGTTTATAAATTTTTAAATTTAACGAACTAATTTATTCAAATTATTGTAGACAAAAATGCAACCATGCGCCACAACCACATGTTTTTCGTGTTTGCAAATTCTTGCTGGCAAAATTTTTTCCAGCAAGAATTTGCAACTTCTCTCCGAGCGAACTGTCACTTTGCTCTCACAATTTTTGAGTGTTGGATAATTTTTTGGTCTGCACGAACGCGATTTGGGCAAAAATCGTGATAATTCGTACAAATTCGTACAAATTTTTTGCTCGACGAACAAACCTATTGTAAATATGCGTGAAATTCAATGTAATTTACAAGTCGATAAAAGTTTAATTAAAGTGATTAATATACAAGATAAAATAAAAGAAAAGTGTGTAAAGTATTAAGTACAGTGTTATGTGCATTTATATATATAGCACAAATACTTTTTTGTTAAGGAAACCAAGTGGAACGACTTAAGAAATTTTAACAAATAACTTATAAACAATGATATTATTTATATTTTTCAGTTATACATGTTTTAGAGGATACCTCCCTTAACATCCTGACCAAGTTTCATTTGTTAATTCCACCTGGTTTTCTTAAAACACAAGGTGCGGCTGACTACTAAAACCCACCCGAATTCTCCGAATTCTGTTGCCAAAGAAGGGGGGCTGAACCCCTTTTGCAGAGAACACCTTTCTGCGTAGGCGGCCTTCGGCCGCACTTAGGGATTATAACCCTCAGGCAGTAGAATTCTCCTTTCTGTGTTGCCAAAGAAGGGGGGCTGAACACCTTTTGCAGAGAACACCTTTCTGCGTAGGCGGCCTTCGGCCGCACTTAGGGATTATAACCCTCAGGCAGTAGAATTCTCCTTTCTGTTTTGCGAAGAGAAGGAGCTGAACACCTTTTGCAGAGAACACCTTTGTATATTTTTAATGCTTACTGGGTTATATCCTATCTTCTTTTGTCTCTCATTCTTTTGCATATTTTGGAGTTTGACAGCTGAACTCCGCCATTTAATTTGCATATGCAACCAAAGTCAGACGCGTGATTTTGAAGGTGTTTTTATTTAATGAATTGTGATGAATTGGTTAATACTAAAGTCGTAAAGCAAGTTATAACAAATCAAGTAAAGTGTAAAGTGAAGGGGAATACAAAAATATATTGGTGAAGTGGCTAATTTAAGCAGAATAGGAGTGATAAAATGTACGCTAATTTCCGAATTTTACAAAAAAGGGCATATTTCAAACCTAATTTGTAAATAAATTAGTAACCAAAATTTACAAAAGTGAGTGTTAAAATATTGCGTGGACCCTTGACTACAAGTGTGTGAAATTTTTTTTGGATCGGGCCACCCATTTGGACGGAATAGCCCGAAATAGTTGTGAGCGGTACTAAACCCCACCCAGGGGGAGTTCTCCTGATTGCAAATATATATACTTTTAGCCGCAGGAGGCTTATAGTTTTTAAATTATTTGTTGTTAAAGTTTGTAAATTGAACTAACCTCTCGGCGCTATTTCACAAAATAAACACTATATTTATGTAGACACCTTGGCAAAATAGTTGCATTAAAACCCCAGCCTGAGGTTTCCACTTTAATATACAATTATTAATTAATTAATTAGTAAAACGCGTTTATAAATTTCTTCACAAACGTTTGCACATTTCACAAACAAGCAGAAATAACAATGGCTGACAGTAACACAAAACGTATGCTACCATACGTTAAAAAAAATACACCACAAATAAGTGCGTATAATTAGGAGTAAAGTGTACAATATACTTGCTCTTATTAAAAATAATAATATTAGGATCGATAGGGGTCTTACTCCTGATCATAACGGTTTATTTTTTTCGGGTGGGAAATAATATTTACTGGTGTTATTGATAGTTCAAAATACACAAAGTAGAAGAACGTACATCGTTAATTTGATATATGAATCGCGCGATTTTTTATTGAAAAATTTTCGCCTGGGCGCTTTTTCCATAAAAATCAATACTTCGATAAATAATGAAAATTTTTAATAAAAAATCGGTTCTGTATTCACAATGTGCGTATACATATATAAGTGCGTGATAATTATTAAAACTTACTTAATTTACTAAAAATACATCATAAATGCAAAAAGTATGTTTACATTTCATCGTGCGGGGTTTTATTGCAACTATTTTGCCAAACTGTCAACATAAATATAGGCCCTTATTATGAGCTGCATTCGATTTTCGATCTTCGCTGGCTATCGAAGATCGAAGATCGAAAGTGAAATTCGTATTATGAGCTATGCAAGCGTGTCGAAATTTTCGTTGAGTATCGAATTTTCTGTCGAACAGAATTTTGCTTTCGATGGTGTAGCGAAGTGTTAGAAAATTGTGAAAAATGTATGATTTTGTATATGTTTTCTTACATTTTGGCGGCTAGACACTAATTTTAAACAATTTTTATTAATTTCATGCAGTTCTAACATCGTGAATACTAAACACAAGCTCGAAAAGCTGGTTTTACTTGTGAAAGAAATTCCCAATACTCTGTTGGCGGGGCTGTGTAAAGTAAACAAAGAGAAAATGGATAGGGTAGATTCATCCACTAGTGAGCTATGCAAACAAAAACAAGAAATAATTAGCGAGGTGAAGAAAGTGACAACTATAAGCCAAGAGAAAGCACAAAGTGGTGTGGGTGTATCGTATGCCAATGCATTGAAAGGTATTCCTCCTATAATTGTCAGGCCGAAAAACAAACAAGCGGCTGAGAAGACTAGGGTGGACCTTAATAAGATCGATGCATCTGATATGAAAATTGATAGAGTGTCAAATAAGAATAACGGGGCAGTGGTTATAAACGCAAATAGCGTTTCAGATAAGGACAGAATAAAATCTGCTCTAGCAGACAACTTAAATAAAGAAGTGTACGACATCACCGAACCCAAAGTTAATACGCCTAAAATTTTGTTAGCGCACATAAACGCTGAATATTCTGAGACGGAGATAATAAATAAGATAAAAGCTCAGAATAGCTATTTAAATGATGCGAGTTTGAAATGTGTAAAAATATTTAAGTCCAGGCGCAGTGGTGAGGCATTTCCTTCATTCAGTGCAATAATAGAAATTGAGCACAAATTCTTCCTGCAGGTATTGGAGTCAAAGAGACTTAGTATTGGGTGGGATCGATGCCCCGTCTATGATGGGCAAACCGTGAGAAGGTGCTACAAGTGTCTGGGCTTCAACCATAGCTCTAACAGCTGTAACAAAAAGCTTAGGTGTAGCAAATGCATGGGAGAGCACAAGTCTGAAAGTTGCACTGACAGTAGCCAAAAAGAAGTTTGTGGAAATTGTTGTGATGCTGTTAAAGAGTTAGGGCTAAACCTGGATGTAGCGCACAACGCATTTAGTCGTGAATGTCCTGTCTATATTAGGAAACTNGTGATGCTGTTAAAGAGTTAGGGCTAAACGTGGATGTAGGGCACAACGCATTTAGTCGTGAATGTCCTGTCTATATTAGGAAATTGAAACTAGAGAAACAAAGAGTAGGATGTTAGCAATTAGGTGTAATGGAAAAGCGTAACAGTTACTTAAAATGCGTGTATCTTAATATAAATAGTATAATAGCCAATAAAGCCGAGCTTGAAAGGCTTCTTGAGACTGTTGATCCGGATATAGTTTTATGCTCCGAAACATGTACAACAGAGGAAATAAACGACTCCGAAATCAAGTTTCCAACTTATCAGTTTATTAGATGCGACTCGTATAGTAGACACACTGGCGGGGTAATTGTAATTTTGAGAGACACAATAGACTTTAAAATAATAATAAATAGATCCACTGATAAAAATGTCTGGTGTATAGTGGTACAATTGAGAAATTTTGAAACCAAATGGAAAATCGGGGTAGTCTATCACTCACCCAGTTCGAGTGATGCAGATTTTCTGACATATATGGAAGCCATTTTGTCCGAAACATGCGCTAACATGGTAAATACCATTATTATTGGGGATTTTAATATAAATATGAATATATCATCGACATATAGTAGGAAGCTTAATGAGATATTCTCTCAGCAGGCAATGAAACAGTTAATCAACTTTGATACCAGGGTTACTGCACAGTCCGAAACGCGCATCGACTTGTTATACTCTAACACTAATGAAGTTTCATGTGAAAAAGCTGAGGAACATAGAATAACGGATCATGAAACCATAATGTTCAAATGCAATATAAAAAAACAAGGCGAAATCAATAAACTCTCTGAATTAATTTCTTGGGATGAGTACAGCCCAGACAACCTCATAAATCTTTTGAGACAATGCCACTTTGCAAACCTGAATAGTTTCAATATTGATGATATGCTCGAACATATCAACCTTTGTTTTATTTCGAGTATGAATCAACTAATTTCTCGGGTACAAAGGGGGGTTAAACTTAGAAATAAATGGTATGATAGACAACTGACTGACACTAATAAAGAAAAGTTTAGGTTACACCAAAGGGCAGTACTCACAGGTGATTGGGTAGATTACAACAAAATAAAGAAAGAGTATAAGAAAATGATCAAAATTAAGAAAATTCAGTATATGGAACACAAGGTAGAAAATAATAGAGGTGATAGTCGTTTAATGTGGAAATATTTAAAGAATATTCTTAATAATACGGGTAACAGAGACAATATCAAAGAAGTNATTTAATGTGGAAATATTTTAAGAATATTCTTAATAATACGGGTAACAGAGACAATATCAAAGAAGTTC